AAATATTAAATATATTTCTTATTAAATCTTTTATTGAAAATTATACACATACAGGAAAAATAATCAAGATACAGATGAATAATGGTAAAAAAAAAAAAAGACAAAATATTTCAAATTATGTATAATTTCCAGAACTGTCTAGAGCATGCAAATATAAAAACTGTCAAGTGGCTTACACTATAATCACTGTGTCTTTGTTGAATTTCTTCTCTTGAACTGTCCCGGAGCAATTTGGGGAAACAACATCCTCACTATCAGAAGACAAGTCAATATACTGTATTCCTCTTTGATCTTGGAAACATGATACACTTGCTTTTCTTTCACCATCTGAAGGTTCTGGAACACTAGAATCTTCTGCAAAAGGAAAAAGACATTCTGAGCAACAAGTAAATTTTTGTTAAAAGTAGTTTAACTTTTTTATTATTTTTTTTATATGAGCATGGGAGGTGGAGGGCACAAGTGTGCACCACAATGTAAATGTAGAGGTAAGAGAACTTGTGGAAGTCAGTTCTCTTCTACCATCATGTGGGTTGACTGAACAAAGGTCAACAGGCTTGGCAGCAAGTGCCCAACAGGTAGTTTCTTAAACGTTAGCTGAAATGTTGAATCTGAAACTATCTGACAATATCACTGATCTGGTCTACATTTTAATGACTCTAGCTCTTGTATTATTTTTTAATAAATGGTTTGTGATTAATTTTGTAATATGTGGTCTGTGATTAATATGTATCTTCCAAATGCTGATTTACTTCATATATCAAAAAACATGTTACTATCACCACTAATTTCTTTAGAAATGTCTAAGTATTTATATGCATCTATACTAGTATATTAACTTTCCAAAGTTTCAGTTTTCCTTTGCAAATTAAATATTCTATCACTGACAAGTCCTGGGTCCCTTTACTGGGCAACCCCTTTGATCATTCTAAGAAACTCTGCCAAATATGTAAATTTGTACACATCTGTCATTCTTTCAAGAAAATGTGACATTTTGGTAAATGCCTGCAATCCCAGGATTCAGTAGGCAATGGCAGTAGAATTGCTATAAGTTTCAGGCCAACGAGTTCTAGGCCAGCCAAGGCTAAAGAGTGAGACCCTGTTTCAAAAAGTCTAATAATCATAATAATAATGTGTTCTACAAAAAAGTGACTACTAATTCCAAACAAATGATCAAATGCTATTCTCGAGAGAGTCACTGTACTATAGCAAGACTGAATTAAATTTGTATGTTTACTGTTTAACAACTTTTACTTTTTTCTTTTATTAGATTTATGTATCCTTCTACCATTTGAGTACCAGAGATTAAAAATCAGCTCGCCCAGCTGGGCAGCAAGTACCTTTACCCACTCAGACACCTTGCCAGCCCTTTAAAAGACTTAGTGAAATTAGTAGTTACAGGAAGTAAAGAATACAGTGAGAAGTGCTCGCTTCAGCAGCACATATAAAAATTGGAACAATACAGAGATTAGCATGGCCCCTGCACAAGGATGACCCACAAATTCATGAAGGGTTCCATTTAAAAAAAAAAAAAATACAGTGAATACTACAACAGTCTGGGACTTTGCTTTTGCTTTGATTCATACTTTGTTTTTAGATGTGGTTTCCCTGTGTTGCCCAAGCTGGTCTTGATCCCACCTCAATCTCTGGAGTAGTTGGGTCTGTTGGGCATGTCTTACCTGGTTACCTATCAATGCTTTTTCACCATCAGTGTCACTATCAATACATTGGCAAAAGCAAATAAAGTCTTAATGCTACCTTGACAAATTACTTTGACCTTGTGAACATCCAGGGAGGGTCTTAGGGAATCCCCACAGACTCATTATCTGTATTTTGAAAGTGGATAGAAGACAGTAAAAGCTTACTAGGAAAACCAACCTCCCAATGCAGTCAATAATCTAGAATCAGTATTGTGCTGAAACACATTTTTTTAATTTGGACTATTTTTAGAGGTAAACAATAGCAAGAGTATCTAAGAGACAACAGTAAAAGATCTTCCTGGCATAATGATTTTTTTTGACCTAAAGCAAACCGGCATTTTAGGTAGTATCATACAGATGACAATAAATACACATATATACACAAAAAGAAAACATGAAATAGAACAGTAAAAAGCAGAAATAATAATAAAGACATCTGCTATAATTCCATTCTGACAGATGCTGAACATGTTCAGTGTTCAAAGCACTCTATCAGTAGGCAGAGGAAACACAAGGGGGTAGGGGAGACAAGTTATTGGTTCAAGCTATCCTAAAGAAACTAACATAGCCTAAGGACTCATGTATACAAATTACAATGAGACATAGTTTGTGCCATGAAAAGAGGTACAAACAAAATGCTGAATGAGTGGGGAAAAACAGCCTGCCCTTCCCCATAAAAACAAAATGGCTAACATTCTAAAAAAACGACTATTTTATTTCTTTTTTTTCACAAAAGTAACACACACACTGTATCATAAGCTTATGTAAATTTCCCACTAGCAGTATGCACAAGAGAACACAATCTTAAGATACCAACTTTTAAGATATCCTTATACCCATTCTTTTATCTAAGTATACCATGAAACAAAATAGGAAGTTCCATGAGTTCAAGACAAACAGGGTCTGGAAGCATACGTCTGTAATCCCAGTATTTGAAAAGTGGAAATAAAACCAGATCAGTCATCCTCAGCTACACAGTAGGTTTGAAGACACTTTGGAATAGGAGACCTTGTCTCAAAGAGAGTTCATGAGCTCTGCCAGGGCCTCTGGACATTTCTGGGGGCTCTCCCAGACCTATCTGGGTACACTCCCTTTCCCACTTGTTCCTGTCATCTCTGCTCTGTTAGGAACCTTCTAGACCCCCAGATCTGGGAGCTTTCTCAGATCTTGTGCCAAGTTTCGTTTCTCATACATCCCTGTGCTCTACCCATCTCAAGTCTTCCAGGAGTTTTCCCAGGCCTGTCTTAATGAGTTTCCTTTCCCACACATCCCTCCATTCCATCTCAACTCTGCCATGATGATCGGAAACTCCTAGGGGCTATCCCAAAACTTAAGTGAGTTCCCTTTCAAACACCTACCTGTACTCCCCATCTCTGCTCTGTTGGAACCCTTGTAAACCCCTAGACCTGGGAGCTTTCCCAGACCTGCCTTACTTAGTAAATTTCCTTTTACACACATCCCTATGCTCCATTATCACCATCGCAGCTTTGTCTGGACCCTTACAAGCTGCTAATTGTCTTCCCAAACCTGCCTTTGCTCTCAGACGTGAGCAATCCCAGCCTATCAGCCAACCTGTTCACCTGGTAACCACACAGTCCACCCTGCTGTTACAGAACCTTAAGGAGTCAATTTGAGAACTTCAACACAAAGGCTGCACCTATCCTTAGCTTAAATGAGATACTTCTCACACCCCATTTGCACCAAGCACTAAGCTTGGCAATAACCTGAAAAGTTGGGGCAATTGCAAAGATATCAACAACCACTCAACAAAAACAAGATCACCTACATACATACTAAGAAACACCACCAACAACACAAGGTCCAGATGCCTAGAACTCACTGAAATAACACAAACAACATGAATAACGATTTGTCTACTACAGAAATTAGCACCCCCAAAGTAATGTTTCCTAAGAATGGAAACCTAGGGGATGAACAAGACAATGATTTCAATATAGCAATAATAAATGTTTAAGGAACTCAAAGAGGATATGAAAAAAAGAATAAAGACTGTAAAATCACAAATAGTTGAATGAAAAAGCTAAAACAATTCAAAACATAAAAACAGAATTCAATAACGATAAAATTTCAAGGCTAGAGAGATGACTCAGTGGTTAAGAGTACTGGCTCGCTGCTTTTCAGAGGACCTGGGTTCAATTCCCATCACCCACCATCCATGGCAGCTAACAACCATCCATAACTCCAGTTCCAGAGGACCCAATACCCTCTTTTGGCTTCTGCAGGCTTCGCACAACATGGGTGCACTTACACACATGCAGGCAAAACACTCATACACATAAAATTTAAAACAAAAAAAAAAGAGAGGGAGAAAGAAGCCGGGCGTGGGGGCCCACGCCTTTAATCCCAGCACTTGGGAGGCAGCAACAGATGGACCTCGGAGAGTTAAAGACAGCCTTGGTGTCCATGATTCCAGTAAGGTGAGGGCTACAGGGAGACCCTGACTCAAAAAGACCAAAAAAAAAAAAAGAGAGAGAGAAAGAAAGAAAGAGAGAGAGAGAGAGAGAGAGAGAGAGAGAGAGAGAGAGAGAGAGAGAGAGAGAGAGAGAGAGAGAGAGAGAGAGAGAGAGAGAGAGAGAAAGAAAGAAAAAAAAAAGATAAAAATCTCAGGAGAAGAGCCGGGCGTGGTGGCACACGCCTTTAGTCCCAGCACTTGGGAGGCAGCAACAGGTGGATCTCTGTGAGTTCAAGGCCAGCCTGGTCTACATAGTTCCAGGACAGCTAGGGCTACAGGGAGACCCTGTCTCAAAAAGACCAAAAAAAAAAAAGTCTCAGAAGAAAAGCCAAACTGACATAAAACTTGAAGTGAAAAACTCAAGAACTCAAACAACTTACAAGAAAGAAGCAAAAAGGAAGTAGAGGAAACAGAACAGAGAATATCAGCTCCTGAAGACAAGGTTGGAGAACTGGAGTTAAGGACAGTTCATAGTTGCCATGTGGGTGCTGGGAATACAACCTGGGTCCTCTGCAACAGCAGTCAGTGCTCTTAACTGCTGAGTCATAGCCTCACAGCTCCACAGAATTTTAAGACACTGAGAAAAGAAACAGAAGAAACCACAAGATAGAAAAACTTCCCAAGCTCATATGGATCAATAAAATTAATATTGTGAAAATGGTCATCCTACCAAAAGCAATCTACAAATTCATATAATTCTAATACAATTCTTCACAGAAATTGAGAAAATAATTTCAAATTTCATATGGAACCACAGAAACTCAGGATAGCCAAAATAATCCTGAATAGAAGAAATGCCAGAGGCATCACTATCAATGATATCAAATTATACTACAGAGCTATAGTAATAAAAACAGCATGATACTGGCATGAAAATAGACACACTCATCAGTGGGATAGAATTGAGAAATCATATTTAAATCCATGCATTTACAGCCTCCTGATTTTTGACAAAGCAGCCAAAAATACACACTGGAGAAAAGACAGCATGTTCAACAAATGGTGCTGGTCAAACATGTAGAATGAAACTACATCCCTATCTCTCACCAGGCACAAAACTCAACTCCAAATGGATCAAGGACCTCATCATAAGACCCCCCAAGCCCGAATCTGATACAGGATAAAGTAGGGAATACATTGGAACTGCTAGGCAAAGGAAAGAACTTTCTGAACAGGACTCCTGTATTGCAAGCATTAAGTTCAGCAACTGACAAATGGAACCTCATGAGACTATAAAAAGCTTCTGTACAGCTGTACTATTTAGGTGAAGGGGCAACTTACAGCATGGGAAAAAAAATCTTCACCAGCTATACCTTGGACAGAGGGTTAATATCTAGAATATACAAAGAGCTCAAAAAACTAAACATCAAAAAAAGCAAACAACCCAGTTAAAAGTGGGGCAAGGAGATAAATAGGGAGTTCTGTAAAGATGAAATATAAAGGGTTGAGAAATATGTTTTAAAAGTGTTCAACATTTTAGGCCAGGTGTGGTGGTGCACACCTTTAGTCCAGCACACAGGAGGCAGAGGCAGGTGGATCTCTGTGAGTTCAAGGCCAGCCTGGCCTAACTAGTGAGTTCTAGGACAGCTAGGGCTACAGGGAGACCCTGTCTCAAAAATACCAAAACAAACAAAGTGTTCAACATCTTTAGTCACCAGAGAAATGCAAATTAAAATTACTTTGAGATTTCATCTTACCTGAGCCAGAATAGCTAAGTCCAAAATCATAAATGACAAATGCTGGTAAGGATGTGGATAAAGGGGAACTCTTACTCAATGCTGCAAACTAGTGCAGCTACTGTGAAAATCAGTGTGGAAATTCTTCAAAAAGCTAGAAATTGATCTACCATTTAACCACTTGATCCTACCATACCATTCTTGGGCATATACACCCAAAAGGCTCTCTATCCTACTACAAAAATACCTGTTCATCCATGTTCATTTCTGCCCCTTTTCATAATAACCAGGAATTGGAAACAACCTAGATGTCTATCACCTGATGAATGGATAATGACGGTGTGATACACATACACAATGTAGTATTATTCAGCTTTTTGAAATCTTAGAGACAAATGTTTCAATTTGAAAATCCAGAGAGGTCAAGAAACTAATAAAGAGCCATGGGGGAGGGGGGTTTCCTGGGAGGGGAGGTAGAAATATAGTAATATGACAGAGTAAAGGGGAACATTAGAGTAGGAAGGCTTTGATGGGAGGGCAGGGCAGAGGGTGGAGTACTGGGAGAGAGAACACTGAAGGCTTTAGAAAAAGCCATATGGAAACCTACTAACATAGAAGCTACTTAAAGTATATAAGCATACATTATTAAAAGAGATTTAAAAATCTTACAACAGGG